TAAAAATCTAAGTAAAGGAAAATTGGACTTTTAAATTTAATTTACAGCTGCAGTTTAATCCTGACAAATCCAGAGTTTTAAGCCCGGGAAATTGTAATAGAGACAACAAATATCTGTTTGACGATCCTGACATTGTGAAATCTGAATGTGAAACAGATTTGGGTGTTATGTGTGTAAATCACAAAAATTAACACGTGATGATAAATGTGAGTGTCAAACCACGAAGGAAGAATTGAAACAGGAATTTCCTTAAGTACTTTCGTATTTAATAATACACCTTCAGAAGAGTAGTTATGTTTAGTTGAAATCTTAATATAAAAATTATGTGTGAATATTCCTAATAAGGTAAATACAGAACTGTTATTCCTTACTAGAAATGTTAGTTGTAAGACATCGGGTGTCATTTTTCTACTTGATATTGTTCTGTTCAGGTACTATTAAGATTTTTAAATTTGAAAGTTCAGTATTAGGCACTGTACTATAAAATGTAGAGTGTTGTGCCTTGAAATATTTATTTGTCTCTTGGGAAATAATTGAAGTGATTTGTTTTAAATATATCAATAAGGAATAGTGTGAGTTTCCTCGCTAATAATTGTTACGTGATGAAGTTTTTCCATATTATATATAACACTCGTCAATGTCCTTGACCGAGACACCTCTTCACTTGGAAGGTCGTGACGTCACGGCCCGCGGGGTGTCATCCTCCAGTATATAAACAGGTGGCATCCCTCACAGAGCATCAGTCCAGTAAGTCATCCTCACCAAGAATGTCTCTCAAGGTACAGTGCTAACCTCTCTTAAAGCATTTTTATTTCAAGAGATATTTTATATTATTCATGACTCTATTTACATGTGTTCTACATTTATCAATTACTGTGAATAAATAGGAGTAATAATTCAGTGAGGGTTTGAATCATGACTTCGTAGAAATAACATAACAGTTGCTAAAATGATCTCACATTTGAATGAAAAAAATAAACACATAGGCATTTGCCCACTGAACTGTATTAGTTAAATATCAAGTCAAGTAAAATTCTTGCATTAATAATAATACACCAATTTATAACATATCAAATATAAATATGAATATAAAAAAATATATTTAAGATTTAGAAACTTTGCATAGAATAAATGTTTAGATTAAATTTACAAACTGTTTTCAGGTTGTGTTGATCGCGGCTCTTGTCATGGTCGCCTTGGCCCGTCCCGAACCTCCTCCTCCTTCTCACTATCCACGACCTATATACGGCGTCCCTTCTACGGAGGTGATTATAACCCACAGTGGGCAAGGCTGCCCACATGTCTCTGTGACTATGGTCTAAACAAGCAAGTGACCAATACTATCATAACTTTATCATATGTGACACATGAGCCTGGCTGAGACTGCTCTGGTGAGACACGTATTGTATTCTGATGTTACTGTTATAATTGCAGGCTCCAGCTCGGTACTCCTTCAGCTGGAAAGTGAAGGACGACGCTTCCGGCAACGACTTCGGCCAAGACGAGACCCGTGATGGTCCCAACACCCAGGGCTCCTACTATGTGCTGCTTCCCGACGGTCGTCTGGAGAAGGTGACCTACACTGTCAACGGCGACTCCGGCTACGTGGCCCAGGTGACCTACGAGGGCCAGGTCCAGCACACTACACCCCAGCCCTACTATGGCTAGGACAACACCCACATCAGGACGTTCTGGCCATAATATTTAGAAATGAGAGGAATGATTGTGTAAATATAATTTAACAAATAAACAAATATGCAATATTTTGGTACTCAATTCCCTGCATGAATTTCATCGTGCATTATGCCTAAAATAATATCGCATGAAACCATTCGTATATGTGTATCCAGGCAGTAAATGTGCATCCTTTACGAACGCTATTTTGACTGGCATTGTTCATTTATATATAATTTTTGGAAGCTTTTGTCAAATATAAAACGTTTCGCGATATTTCCCCACAAATGCATATATGATATCTTTCACTGAACACTTGACTGGGCTCTCCCAGTACCCCCGTTGACTCGATGTGCTACAACGTATAAAGTACAAGGTGCTAATCTAACCCGAAACGTACGAACCCGAAAAACCTACTTAATGAAACCTTCCAATGAATAGGAACGGGGATATTTATGAGACGGTACTTTTTATAGTACATTATAATTTATATGCAGACGAGGAGTCACAACGTGGCTGAAATATGTTGACCAAACCACACACTAGAAAGTGAAGGGACGACGACGTTTCGGTCCGTCCTGGACCATTCTCAAGTCGATTGGGAATTTTCGAGGACGGACCGAAACGTCGTCGTCCCTTCACTTTCTAGTGTGTGGTCTGGTCAACATTGTAATTTGTACGTTGGGGAGCCTAACATACAAAAACAGGACGTATAAGCTGATAGGATGAGGTTGCTCAACCCATCTCTCTCACACTTTTGTTTATCAATACTTAATTTACTAAAATCAGTCAAGGAATTTTATCTTTAAATTTATATAACAGGACTGTTTTTTTAAATACCGGTCTTAAACACACAAGCGCGCGCGCACACACACACACACACACACACATACGCATGGAGGCCTGATAGCTGAGTGGACAGCGCTCTGTACTCGTAATCCTAGGGTTCGGCTTCGATCCCCGTGATGGCAGAAACAAAATGGGCAGAGTTACTTTAACCTGATGCCCTTATTACCTAGCAGTAAATAGGTACCTGGGAATTAGACAGCTGTTACAGACGGCTTCCTGGTGTGTGTGTGGGGGGGGGGAAATAGTAGTTAGTAACAGCTGATTGATTGACAATTGAAAGGCGGGCCGAAAGAGCAGAGCTCAGTCCCCGCAAGCACAACTAGGTGAGTAAACACACGCAAAGAGCGCAAAGTTCAACTCCCGCAAACCCAACTTGGTGAGTACACACACACACACATGTGTGTGACATGTAGGGGGGACATGATCACCACATTCAAGATTCTGAAGGGAATTGATAGGGTAGATAAAGACAGTCTATTTAACACAAGGGGAACACGCACAAGGGGACACAGGTGGAAACTGAGTGCCCAAATGAGCCACAGAGATATTAGAAAGAACTTTTTTAGTGTCAGAGTGGTTGACAAATGGAATGCATTAGGAAGTGATGTGGTGGAGGCTGACTCCATACACAGTTTCAAGTGTAGATATGATAGAGCCCGATAGGCTCAGGAATCTGTACACCTGTTGATTGACGGTTGAGAGGCGGGACCAAAGAGCCAGAGCTCAACCCCCGCAAACACAACTAGGTGAGTACACACACACACACACACACACACACACACACAGAAGAAGGGACAGAAGGAAGTTTACTGAATCTTTTCATGATAATCCACTCAGTCAGGGACATCACTATTTGGCCATGTCTAAAGCTCTCTCATTCATACACACACACACACACAATAGGCCAGGAGTCATTGGATTAGACAACCAACAGCTAGAACGTCGGTGTCAAATAGCAAGAACTGGAACCTGCTGGCACAACAGGTGGCTACTCTCACACTAACCGAGTAGCCCATTGGACGCTGTTATTTGGAATAGAAAATAGAAAAAATAGGGGTGGCAATAGAAGAAAATATTAAAGTGTTCAGTTAGAAAACACAAGGTCTTCTCTGAATACTCTTTATTTTCTTATTTGAGGCTATGTCTATCTACAATTGCACTGGAGGTAGTACCCTTAATATATATATATATATATATATATATATATATATATATATATATATATATATATATATATATATATATATATATATATATATATATATATATCCTTGAGAAGCATGCCTCTCAAGGTAAAGTGTTAACTTCTCTTGTAATGCAATAGCAATGTATGCTTAGTAGAATTTTTAGTACACTTGAGGGTCTATTTTGCATCTATCTGAATTTTTTAACGAGAAGAAGAATATGACGTTTAAATAACTCGAGAGATGACATTAACTAAACATACTGAAGGAAGGTGTTTGGGTTCCATTTAAGAGAGTAGTTGTACGCCATATTTCAGGTTAAAATTAATATTGTAGATAAGTTGAAAAAGGCCGGTATAAATATATATATATAAGGACGAATTGTCAGTGATAGAGCTTTAGACATGGCCAAATAGTGAAGTCCCTGACTGAGTAGATTATCATGAAAAGATTCAGTAAACAAGACCATTAGTGTAGGTAATGGTCATGTTTACTCAGCCTCGTATCTTGTAAAATTATACTACATTCTTTACAGTTTAGTTACCTTCATCCCCGGGTAATATGGCGGAGAACCGACTATGAGGTAATGATTCAATTGTTTTGCTGGAGGCTTTCAGACAAGCAGTTCTATGAAAGCGAAAATTATTTATGGAGGTCCCAAAGCTACTTGGAATTTTCAAATATTTAAAATGCAGCCTGTGTACTGTTCAGGTTTATCATTTGATAATGTATGTTCCGTAGCCTGAACCTGGAATAGATGAAATTGTTGACCACATAACCTGAATACACTCGGTGACGGAGTTGAATGTGTTCATAAAGACTCCCCTCATGCTGCTGTAGGGTGGTGGTGGTACAGTGGTACAGTACTCGGCTTTGTTGGGTGGTGGTACAGCACTCGGCTTTGTAACGTGGTGGTACAGTGGTACAGCACTCGGCTTTGTTGGGTGGTGGTACAGCACTCGGCTTTGTAACGTGGTGGTGCAGTGGTACAGCACTCGGCTTTGCATCACGCAGGCGGAGGTTCTATTCCCAGCAAGGGCATTTGAAATGCCCTTGCTGGGACTATATAATATATATATATATATATATATATATATATATATATATATATATATATATATATATATATATATATATATATATATATATATATATATATACACAAGTCCTTGACCTAGGCACCTCGTCCCATTGGATTTCGTGACGTCACGGCTCGCAGGGTGTCATCCTCCAGTATATAAACAGGTGGCATCCCTCACAGAGCATCAGTCTGGTAAATCATCCTCTAGAATCATGTCTCTCAAGGTAAAGCAACTTTCTGGTAACGTGATTTCAGTGTAATTCTTAGTACATTTAAGTTTGTTTTTCATCTGTCTAAACCCATTTAACACAACGAAGAATATGAATATTGTTTATATTGGGGAAATGACTATATTTGATAACTGTAGAGAGAAACGTTTGGGGGTCCAAGAGCATGGTTTATCCCTATTTTAGATTAAAACAGATTTTGACAAAATGTAGAGTGGTTGTATATAGATTACCGTAGGAAATTTGTCAATGTGCAGGCGATGAGTCACAATAACGTGGCTAAAGTATGATGACCAGACCACACACTAGAATGTGAAGGGACGACGACGTTTCGGTCCGTCCTAGACCATTCTCAAGTCGATTGTGTTCACAATCGACTTAAGAATAGTCCAGGACGGACCGAAACGTCGTCGTCCCTTCACATTCTAGTTTGTGGTCTGGTCATTTGTCAATGTATAGCTCTGGACGTGTAATGGCCATTTAGGGAAGCCGCTGTCGGAGGTGACGATTATGAAGCGACTCAATAAACAAGACCATTAGAGTAGGTAATGGTTCTGGTTACTCACCCACGTATCTAGTAATATTGTACTACATTCTTAATATAGTTTAATTGCCTTCATCCTGTGGCAATGTGGCGGAGAACTGACTACGAGCTAAATATTCAATTACTTTGTTGGAGGCTTCATGACAAGCAGTTATATGAAAGCAAAATTTATGTATGGAGGTTTAAGTGCAACGTGTAGGAGTAAACAAAAATATACATTAGATGTATACAGTTTATTATGACTTCATGTTTTGATTAAAACTGTCCATAGATTGTGGTGGTCGCTGCTGTTGTCGTCGCTACGTCAGCTGGACCTCAGGCTTCTACATTCTATCGGCCCACGACATCAGGTCCCACTTACCGACCTCCGACACCTGGTCCCATCTACGGCGTTCCCACTACTGAGGTGAGTATAACCCACAGTGGGCAAGGCTGCCCACATGTCTCTGTGACAATGGTCAAAACATGCAAGTGACCAATACTATCATAACATTATCATGTGTGACACATGAGCCTGGCTGAGACCGCTCTGGTGAGACACGTGATGTATACTGATGTTACTGTTATTATTACAGGCTCCTGCTCGGTACTCCTTCAGTTGGAAAGTGAAGGACGACGCTTCCGGCAACGACTTCGGCCAAGACGAGACCCGTGATGGTCCCAACACCCAGGGCTCCTACTATGTGCTGCTTCCCGACGGTCGTCTGGAGAAGGTGACCTACACTGTCAACGGCGACTCCGGCTACTTGGCCCAGGTGACCTACGAGGGCCAGGTCCAGCACACCACACCCCAGCCCTACTATGGCTAGGTCAACAACCACACCTGGACGTTGAGGCTCTTAATATATATATATAATTTAGTGTAAAAATATTGAAAACATTATTTAATAAATAATAAATAAGTATGCAATATTCTAGTTTTCACTTCCATGTATTAATTTAATCTTTCCTAATAGCCCTTAAAAACACGTCAGAGAACCAGTCTGTAGAATATATGAGAAAGAACTTTGTAACTCATAACCAGCATAGGTTCAAGGATGGCAAATCTTGCCCACAGGTTTAATAGAATTCTATGATCAGGTGACAAAAGTTAAGCAAAAAAAAAAAAAAAAGGTGGGTAGACTGCATTTTCTTGGAATGTCAGAAAGCAGCTGGCAGCGTACCTCATACGAGGCTGGTGCATAAGTTAGAGAAACAGTCAAGAATGACAAGTGCTTCAGTGGATAAGGGGTTACCTAAGCAACAGAAAACAGAGAGATTTACATTAAATTGAAATTAAATTATTAACTTATAATTCAAACATTCTTTGGTTCTACAAAAATGTTTGACAAAAATATTGGACAAAAAGAGAATAATGATGACCAGACCACACACTAGAAGTTGAAGGGACGACGACGTTTCGGTCCGTCCTGGACCATTCTCACAATCGACTTGAGAATGGTCCAGGACGGACCGAAACGTCGTCGTCCCTTCAACTTCTAGTGTGTGGTCTGGTCATCATACTTCAGCCACGTTATTGTGACTCATCGCCTGCAAAAAGAGAATAGATTGTATGCACATTTCTAGACTGCCAAAAACACTTTGACACAGTTACATATGCAAGACTATTATTCAAACGAGACTCAGGGAGAATACCAGAGAGAGTGCCGATCAGGGTGAAAGGGTAACTAACAAGCGAGAGACAAAGAACCAATATTAGGGATAACAAACATAGGATTGTCACAGAGCAATAGATGGAGTTCATCAAGAATCTGTCATAGTGCCCATATTAATACTGAACTACCTCAAAAGCCTACCCTTGAGGGGATAGAGGGTCAATAGTAGCAAAGACCGAGACACGAGGAAGTGTCTCCATGTGAGGAAGAGTAAAAATGAACTCGTCACATATATAAGAAAAAATGAAGTGAGAGGTAACGTGCTTGAAGGATTTTAAAGTGCCTAAGAAACATATGAGGAATCCCCAGGGAAGCAAGATGGTTCCAGCAGGGTCCCAAAAGCGTCATTTCTAAGATACACTTTGTTTCTGGTCTAAATGAAACACTCGTGAACAACTCTCTTCACACTCGCAAAACAAGGGTAATTGACTGATGTGTCACGGTACACTTAAAACACAAATGTCAGACAATAACGCATGTCTGCAAAGCGATCATAATCCTATTTAAACACAGAATTATATAAATTGTACAGAACTATAATAATTCCTGTAAGAGATAGCACATAACATGACACACAATCTGTATAATGCAAATGGTCCTATGACCAGTACTAGTAAGAGGATAATACACAATAATATATACTGAGTACTAACGATTCAACCACACTCCTTTCAGAGTGTAACAACACTCAACCACTGAACACTGCGGTCACAAATAACTATAAGTGTGTCGACCTTAACCGATCTGACACAACTCAGCTGACAGGCGTTACCACTCAGGTTAACGAGAGTCAGTCAGTACAGCTCGCTACCTCGATCGTCAGACTCCAAGCCTATACAAACCAGATGGTCGATTCCTAAGAACCAAACACCGGGTAACCTATTGGAACGATTGACAGAGTACTCACATGTATGGTCGACCTTCCTGTACCCCCCCCCAGTCACAGTTACACACGTTTATTCCCACCTCGTTAACCATCGAAGTGGGAATAAACGATGGTTTTCATGAATGAATGAAAGACCAATGACGTCTCTCTCTCTCTGAGGGCACCAGATCATCCCTCCAGTGATCAGTGGTGTTTCCTGTCGTTGACAAGACACAATCAAGTAATGGCAGTAGGTAATTTGTGTACTTTGATTAGTTACATGACGAGTACCTAATGCAGGCAAGTACGTGGCTCGTTAACCACATGCTTGAGTAATAATTGGGTAGTTACGCAGCGTATCAACACAACACAAGGGAGGTGATGCTACAAGCCAAATCCAGTCTATTACTCCTCTAAACTTCTTGAGCTCCTCTTGAGCCAATAATTATCTATCACTTGACTAAATGGAATTGCTCTAGAGGTCCTCTAAGTCCAAAGGACGTCGCTGTGACGACTCTCGTTAAGATACGTCATTCCTGTGGGTGCTTGTTACACAGAATGACCTGGTCTTTCCCTATGCACGTGGCTGGTAGACCTTTCTAGACTGCCTTTCTCTGTCGAGACAGGTGCCTAACCCAATGGGAACGTGGCTTTCAGAGCCGACCAATTGCAGGGCAGCTACTATGCACATGAACGATTGTCTGGAAACTTCTAGAAGCTCCCCATTGGTGTAAGTGACCTATTTGCGAACGACCTAAAGGACGACATGAATTCTCCAAAATGGGTTTG